TGAGCAAGAATATACAATATGAACAAATGGCTATATCCTAGCAATAAGATATACTATGAGATATATGCAAGGATATACAATATAAACAAGGGTAAATAATATGATCATGCAACAATGGCGATATAACAATATGCAAGAATAAATGCGTCAATGCCAAACCCAAACTCAAGAAAATGATCACGGAGTTCGGACCTTCCGTCCTACGTCTCCACTCCCCACTCCCGGGGAGAATCCACTACACAACCTGGTTTAGAAGCCGAAACTTCTCTACACACTCGGTTTTCTAGCTAGCCGAAAACTCTACACACTCGGTTATCAAGTCAACCGACAACTCTCACAAATCCTCACAAAGTACATACACAAGCTACAACCTCAAGTGTTGGTCCTCACGTATCGACTCCCTCAAGTACTCGGAATTATCACCTCTCACTAGGCCACCGACGCCACTCCTCTCGGTATCGACTCCGTCCTCACCACACACTTCTCTCGGTGTACAAGTGTATTACAAAGTGAACTTCATAATTTAAGCACACAAATATAAATTTGTTCTCTACAAGGTGAGAACTCAATTAGGCTCAACTCAATGTTACTATCTCTCACAACCCCAAATATATTATGAATACAAATACAATAAGCTCAAGTCGGTGTGTGTAACAATAAGATTAATCAAATCTAAACTCAATATAAAACTAGCTTTAATATGATGATAATCAAACAAATAAATATAAAGCTAGAAAAGAGTTTAGAAAACTTCTTAATAGATGACAAGAGATGGAGGGAAAATAGTTGATTGCTCAAACTCTAATAGATGATCTCCTCAAACTCTTGTGGAATTAAATTCACAAACTTAAACCCTCAATTGCTTAAAAGCTTTTTAAATAAATACTAAACAAAACTTAAACCTTTGTTAAAACTTTGTTAAAACATTCTCTTGAATAGAAAAAGAGCTGAAGACAATGGGGTATTTATACCCACTCAAAACTGCAGCAAAAATCCAAAGGAAAAAACCAAAAACGCATAAACAAACAAATCAGAAAACTAGCCGTTACTGTGTAAGTCGACTTATATGAGTCGACTTATATGAGTCGACTCAGCAGAAGAAAAACACATGCAGAAAGATAGTTTATAAGTCGACTTATAGTAGACTTATAACAAGTCGACTTATAGTAGACTTATGATAAGTCGACTTAGAGTAGACTTATAATAAGTCGACTTAGAGAGTAGACTTATGATAAGTCGACTTAGAGTAGACTTATAATAAGTCGACTTAGAGTAGACTTATAACATGCACACAACCTGATATATAAGTCGACTTAGAGTAGACTTATAACATGCACACAACCTGATATGAACAGTAAAAATCAACTTTAAATCCTCTTTAAAAATATCAAACACATTCAAAAAATTATAAAACTTTGAGGGAAGATTCTAGACATGTAGAAGAACATGTTAGAGAAAGAATTTTTGAAAAATCATTTCCCAGTTTCTGAAAAACTGCTGACATACATGATTTTGTAAAATCAATTGGGCACAGTAAATCAACTCCAAAAATAGTAAAAATTTGAGGGAAGTTTCTAAACATATAGATAAACATGTTAGAGAAATAATTTCTTAAATATCACTTTCTATTTGTAAAAACTCATCTTTTTTGTAAAAACATGCACGAACATTAAGTTGTTAAAACTTGATTTTTACAAAACGAGTTCAAACAACTTTGAAACACTTTCAAACGTTCTTATAGACTTAATAAAGGATATAAAATGTTGTTATGAAGTCTATAAACTAGAAACACAATATTTTCACAAATATGCATATTCTATGCAATATTTTCTAAAACACAATAATAAATATGACATATGTAATCTCATATTTATAAACACCAAAAATATTTATGTATATATATATATATATAACTATATATATACACATACAAACTAAAAACTTGTATGTATATATAAAACTATATATACATAGAAACCAAAACATGCATGTATATATATAATTATATATATACATAGAAATTAAATACGTGTGTGTATATATAATTGAGCTTAAAGTACCAACACACATAATATAAATCTAAACTAATGTTACCCAAGCTTGATCTGAATCTTCAATAGGCTTAACTTGGTAAACTTGCGGATGAAGCTTGAACTTGGATTTTGAATATGAATTGCATAGGCTTCAATCACTATTCCGCCAACCTCCATTTGATATGATCGTTGAGGCTCGATTCCATCCATCCTCTAACTTGTTTGTCTACAATAAATAAATAAACACATATACTAGACAAACAACATTAGAAGTAAATTGTTTGTTAAACATCATTAAAACAAGAAGGCCAACAGTGCATAGGTTGTTGAGGAGTGTTTTGACCTGCAGATGGAAGTCCTTTGAGCACATTGAGATGAGCAAGACCGTGGTAGAATTTGGCACTTCTATCCATCGAGCGAGGAGTCTTTTAGGAGGTGTTCAGTCAGGCATTTGGGGGCCTTTCAAGGAGGCATCATTGGGAGGTAATCGTTTTGTAGTTTTCGCAGTTGGTGATTGTTCTAGATAATATTAGGTCACGATCAGTTCTCGTTGGTGTAAAGTCCTAAAAGTCAACAACAATTGGAAGAAGTGTATTGGCAGAAAGATAACTCGTTGTTCTAGCTTTGGTAGGGGTCCTTTCTTACATTTGTACCGAGCTCATGGCAACTTGAAACACTTCATTGATGTGGAGACTTTGGGGTGACGAGATGAGATGACAGTTTCGATGGATCGTTTCTTTCTGGAGAAGGATCGGCATTGGTTGTCGAGCATTGGTTCTAGTTTTGGAGTTTCAACATATTTGGGTCATCTTAGTCATAGGTCGCCAACTGCTGTATTAGAAGTTATTGGATCTGGTGGAGCTGCTTCAGATTTTGGTTGGTGTCGGATATTTGGTTACTCAGCATTTGGTCACATCGAGAATGTGAGATTTGATCCGATTGCGCGTTGGGATTCGGAGGCTCATTTGATTATCGTTTGGGAGCTTTTGATTTTGTTCTGAGTAGGAATGCCACTTTTGACTCTCAGCAGGTGGAAAGTTCTAATCAGGTCATTTGTATATCGCAGCAGGTGGAGGGTGATGCTACTTCACGTTGGGTAAAACTTATTCCACATACTCCAGATCATACTGCGTCATTTGGGATTCCAGCTGAGGTGGCATATGTTGGAGATCATTTGATTTCGGATGCAGATGATGAATTGGTTTTGGATTCGGTTACAGCTGGTGGACATGATTTGAATACGGTCATTGGTTCACCTCTGATGGAGGTGTTTGATTTGTATCAGTTTAGGGCCGCTATCAGTTACAGATCCGTTGGCGATATTAGGAAAGAGTTGCAGACTTTTCTATTTGATTGAGGGTTTTTAGAGGCCGTTTGGGTGAACTACGTGAAGGCTTGATTCCTTGGGCAAGAGGATACGTATGCAGTCTTTATGATACAGCCGATTTGATGAGTAGATACCGACGTTTGGGTGAGTGTTCGCGCTCCCGTTTGGATCTCGACTTGTTAAGGATTGAGAAGCAGCAAGTGAGACATTTGGCTTGGTTGGTGTCGGCTCAATTTTGGTAGAAACTTCGTCGAGGTGGAGAATTAAAGAAACCGTAAGAAGTTTGGTAAAGAACAGGTGTTGGAAGACCACAGGAAACTGTTTTGGAGCTGCACGGTCGACCGCGGCACAAGGCCGGTCGACCGCGAACGTGCACAGGCTCAAGCATGAGCCTGGACTTGGTGCGGTCGACCGCCGCTGTCGACCGTGAGACCCTGTAGGACTTTTTGGTCTCTGTCGCTAGATCGCAGTCGACCGCGAGCTTTGGGTGGTCGACCGCCAATCGGGTCAAAGCTGAGTTTTGGTTTCCTGTTCTTATTTGGTTTTGGTGTTTGTATAAATACCAATACACGTTCTAGGGTTTCTTAAGGTTCTTATTTGGTTTTGGTGTTTGTATAAATACCAATACACGTTCTAGGGTTTCTTAAGGCAAGAGTTTGAGATATTTGGAGCGTATAAATACCAATACACGTTCTAGGGTTTCTTAAGGCAAGAGTTTGAGATATTTGGAGCACAGAAAAGGGATATTTTCTGAGCTATTTGATTAGGGTTTATTTGGAGAGATTAAGAGCTTTGTTGGTGAGATTAGATTGTTCCTTCGAATGATTTGTAATATCAAGTTGTACTCTTCTTTTCTATTAGTGAAAACCCCATCACCTTCTTGCCCCGTGGATGTAGGCAATTGCTGAACCACGTTAAAATTGGTGTTTTGTTTGTGCATTGATTTTGGTTGATTTTGACCCTCTTTGATCGGCGTTTGGTTTGGTTCCTCGACACGGTTTTCAACAACAATTGGTATTTGAGCGCAACACACGAGGTCTATGAGTTATGCGCTACTAGATCACATAGTGGATCACTTATCTTATATTGTATAATTTTATGTATTGTGATGACTATGGAGTATGTATCAGTGAATCAAATTATGCTGCATATTTTATATTGTAACACGTATTTATTGATGTTCGATATTGCTGCTCTTTTTGGGTCCCAACCTCTCTGCTATACGATAAGAATAGTTCTAATTTTGCTACTTTATTTTCAATACAATGTTGATGTTCCACTGTTTACACAAGTTTCATGTGGCTTTTATCCAGTTCAATCGTGTCCACCATAAATATGTCATTAAATCAAGTTACAAAATTGGCACCTATAAGGCTATAACGTTTAAATGAACATTGTCAATGCATTCTTGTATGCTTTAAATTAATGCTTCATGAATCACGACTGTATCCACACTGAACAGCAGAACTTGGTCATTGCGATGAGAATTTTAGATCTTTTATTATGATTATACTTACTACCTTACAAGATCATGTTTTTCTGATATTATACACGTGAATGAACAACTTTGTATAGCTAATTTGGTTTGGAGCTAGATCTATATGTACTTGAGGCTTATTAATGGATTTTCTTTCTTACAGGTCTTGATGACCTTCGTGATTGGACAAACAATATCCAGCCACACATTCCAATTTATATGGCAGAACGAGATTTTGAGGTTGGAAATTTTTAAGCTAGAATTCCTTTCACATTTAGTGGTCGATATAGCTAGGCTTCTGATTATTCAGTTTTACTATCTCTGGTAGATTGATGCTCATAAAATGCGAGTTCTTGCCAAATATTCAATTTTTAAATCATCTGGTTTAGCATGTAATACTGTCGTAAGTCAAAACGGCATAGAAAGTGGTAAGTATTTGTGAGAAATATTTCTACTCAATACATCAAGCAAAGCTTGGCTTAGTTGTATGTTTAGTTTAAAGCATTGCCATTCCACAACATCTACGGGCTTTTCTTTCCTTTCGTTACTCTTCATTTTTATGTAAGTGATGTTCAGTCATTATCTTTTTTGCACTTTGCAAGTAATGTAAGTTTTTTTTTTATATTTATATTTCTTTTTTTTTATGCCTCTTGCGTTTATTTTAGGTGATGAAGAAGACGCATTACTACCTAGTGGACACAAGTGTAGTTCTACCTGGTGCTGCTGTCTCAGCATTGCAATTTAATATAATCAAAGAGGAACCATTTATCGTCCATGATCTTAAGGTTAGTAAATAATCATATTTATGATGAAATAGTGGAAGAACAAGAGCAGTTGTTTCCTATAGTAAATCGAGAAAATATAAAGGGGCATATATAACATTCATGTCATTCTTCTACTTCCGCACAATCCCAAACCCAGACCTCTGCCTGCCATATCTTCCTGCAGATTATGTAGCGTTAACCTTGAAGTGTTGTTCTTAGAGGATTTTGATTTAAATTGCTTCTTTGTGTTTTACAGTCATGTGCATACTAAGTGGATGTTTGTTTAATGCGTGATCATAAATGTGATTGCATAGTGGTTGCAATTCCTTAAAGATGGTTCATGGTTGTTCACATTCTAGTACTTGTGCAGAAGTTTTATAGCATGTCTTTATAGTAAAACAGCTGCATGCACCCTAAAAGAATATGAGAAAGTGTGCTAATAAATAGTGGACTTCTATATATTAGACAGATAAACAACAGATTAAGATTGCTCATGCATTTATTAAATAAAGTAGAAGAATAAACCCTGCATAAGATAGAACTTTTTCATTGCCCTTCTGTTTGGATTAACTTAATCAACTATCTTTGCCACGTACTATTTTAGGCCTAGATCCTCCACTTAAGTAACTTACTTTTACAATATATCCATTTCTATACTAAAAAAGCTTAAATTAATCTAATAGCCCCAAAGTCAAAATCTTTGATTTCTTATTTGCAAGTCAGCAATCTATTTCTTCAACTGGAGTCAATTGAGGTTCTTTGTTTTGGATTAATTTTACAAAATCCTCATAAAATTTTGGGGTTTTGATCATAGCTCCCCTGGACATTTTTTTATGTCACATAAACCCTATGAACTTTGGGGTGTCTCACAAACCCCCTTGAACTTTAGAATTTTCTCACTGGACCTCCTTAACTGTAATTTGCAAGTAAGTAAAAGTCCCTTGTGGGATTCAAGTGACGGAGAATAGAATGAAGCATGGTATGCAATGGAACTTATGTGTGAATGGAACACTAATTTTCGTTCTCACGTTTGGGTGCAATTAGTAAGAGAATGAAACAGGAATGTACATATTTGGAACTTGGAAGTTATGCATTTTCTTGATTCCCACTTAAGTGGGAATGCCAATTCCCTACCATTTCATTGAAATGCACCTTCCCAGATAAATTGGGAATGAAGGTAAAGTGAAAATGGGCATTCTAGCTTTCAAAAAGAGTTTTGAGTTTTGTACAAAGGAATAAGTGGTGAGAATTGTCATTCTATTCCCACTCATTCTTGCGTACCAAACAAGGCCTTATTGAGGGGAGTAGTACATTGCCAGTAAAGAACAAATGACTAAATTTGGAATTTTTTTTATCTGAAGGACATTTTAGTTATTTGAAAAATTACAGGTGGGTCTAGTGAGAAAATTCTAAAGTTGGGGGGGGGGGTATTTGCAATACCTTCAAAGTTTAGGGGCTTTTTGTGAAACTAACCCTCTTTTAACATTCTTTGCAATTCTATTGTGTATAGTTGAAAAGAAATTATAATGGTTATCTGGAATGATGTTGATGATTGCATGAGAATGGGTTCGAAGGAGTGATATTTGAAAAATTACAGGTGGGTCTAGTGAGAAAATTCTAAAGTTGGGGGGGGGGGTATTTGCAATACCTTCAAAGTTTAGGGGCTTTTTGTGAAACTAACCCTCTTTTAACATTCTTTGCAATTCTATTGTGTATAGTTGAAAAGAAATTATAATGGTTATCTGGAATGATGTTGATGATTGCATGAGAATGGGTTCGAAGGAGTGATTGATCTTCAGAAGGAACTAAAACCCAAAATCACTTGCTCTTGCTAAAAAATGATAAAACTTCTCAAGTATGGCAACTAGACCTGGAAGAAGCAAGGTCCTCCTCCTGTTTTTCTTCTCTTTAAGATACTTCTCTTGAATTCTTTCTTATGCTTTGAATGCTAATTATTGTTTCTAATTCAATCAAAAATGCTATCCAGGATGCATCATGCAATATGTTGGTTTTTTCTTTATTTCATTTCAACTTATTCGTCATCCATTTTATTTCTAATGTCAGTGCATGTTACTATTATAGATAACTCCTCTGCCTGTTTGGCATGGCAAAGGTTACCGTTCTCTTGGTTTTCGGTTTGGTAAAATATGTTATATTAGGTAATGCAATTATCGACCTCTATTGTACCAAATTATTTTATGTTGCATTATTGCCTGACTGAATGTATTCCTCTATGCAGTGATGTTAGTGATATACCAGAAGAAACTTATGTGCTCCTCAAAGACTGTGAACTCCTTATAATGGTGCTCTAAGCTTTCTGCTTCAAAAGTTTGATTTCAAGAGATAATATTAGATATACCTGCATTTAGTTTGTCCGTTAATACTTACAATGCTTATCATCTTAAAATATCTTCAGGATGCACTGCGACCTGATCGTTCTTCATCAACACATTTTGGACTCCCACGGGTTAATCCCTTTACTATTTGTATTTTCTTGCTCAATTAATTAAATATAATTGAAAATTTTCCGTTGTCATTATTTTCTCTATCAGGCTTTGGAGGAAGTTCGAAAAATTCAACCAAGGAGAACACTTTTTACTGGTACATATTTTGCCATATAGATACACGAACAATTTTCAACTTAGAATATCTGCTTTTTGAGTTTGTTTTCAGTAACATAGTTTCATCTCTGTTATTGAAGGAAGTCATGAATTTGATGAATGTGGTTTTTTATTTCAGTGGATATATATATAAATGATCTTCATCCATAGTATATTAGAAATTTCCCTTCTTGAAATCCTATTAGCAGTAGAAACTCTTAATGTAGAAATTAATATTAGATGGAAAGTAAGACAAAAAAAATGTAATATCTCAACTATTTCTGATTGCTAGGTATGATGCATCTGATGGACCATGATAAAGTGAACGAGGATCTTTCTAAGTTAAAGGAAACAGAGGGTCTTGATATCCAACTGAGCTATGATGGCCTTCATGTACCAGTGAGCCTATAGATGTCATTTACATTCTTGAGTTTTGGCAATTATTTTCTTTTTCTCAAGATTCATGTTCATAAATCTCAAGTACGAGATATAAACACCTTACATTTGTGGGACTGAGCAATCTATCTCCACTATTTTTGAAGATACTACAACAAATAAATTGGGGGAAAAGAATCTTTTTTTAGGCGTGCACCATATTCTGAAAGTTATGCATGAGAAGAATTATATGGTATTATCATTATGTGTTTGTTCTTCTGGCTCTGCTTGATTTATAGATGTGTAGAGTTTTGATATTGAAAGCCTTTCACAGACTTCTGGGAGATTGTTTAAAGGATTAATTGCACATAGACCCCTGTAGTAAGGTGCTTTGGAATTTATTACCCTGTAGTTTCATTTTTTCTAATAGACCCACTGAGTAAACTTTTTTGGCTCTTCTACCCTCGAAGAAAAAGAAATTATTTTTTTATCAGGGGTAATATTGTATCAGGAACTTTGAAACAAAGTACCCTACAATTGTACCACGTGAAGTACCCAAAAAAAACTACAGGGGTAATATTGTATCAGGAACTTTGAAAGAAAGTATCCTACAATTGTACCACATGAAGTACCAAAATAACAGCGGGGAAATTGTGGTTGAAACTAAGATGCAAGCCAAAGAAGAACTGGCTACGTACTGGATATGGACATAATAATACGTGCAGTTGATTTCTTTCTTTCTTCTCTTTTTTATTTTCTTTTTTAACCCTTTATTTGATCTCCTTCATTTCTGCCAGGAGATCTACATAAGATTTTGGGTGCAATTATTATTTTAAAGCAGACATTAAAGGCCTACATACAACAGTTATTGTCTCATCAATGTCTTTTGAGCTCCATACCTGTTGCATGCATGAAATGTCTGCTTCGTCCAAATTGAGTCTGAGTATTTGATGTTGTTTTCAGTGGCCTTGTCCTTCAGATATCCCATTTTATGTTCATCAGACAAATAATCTTTGTATAAATATATAGAAAGATTTGTTTGCATAAAATAACATGGAATCCTTTTATACTTTACACCCATTCCTTGAATTATTTTTAACGCGCATAAATAAAAATCTTTTAGAAATTTTTTTAGAAAAAATAATAATTCATTGAATTATTTTTAACGCATGTAGTTCGGGATGCTATATTTCATCTGCCATGCTACCCTATTTATTTGTTAAGTGAAAAATTCTTTAAGGACCCAAAATATGGGACCAATAGGGGGGACAAGTGAGGTGTCCCCCTCCTATTGGATAATGAGTTGATCATCATTAATGATGGCCAACTCATTATCCAATAGGAGGAGGACACCTCACTTGTCCCCTTTATTGGTTTCATATTTTGGGTCCATGTAGCAAAGCTCTTTTTTTTGAGTGATTGAGATGCATTCTAAATTTAGCCCTTGTCATACCCTTATATATTGCACTCATACCTAATCTCCACCTAAAGACAAATCATAACAATCAATTATGCAATCAACGATTCATATAAAGTAGTGGTCTCTCCACTATTATTTCGTAGTGGAGATTATCCCTCTCATTTTGGTAGTAATATGAGCTAAACAAATTTACCAGTAAAAATCTCAGTAATTTATAATTTACCAGTATTCAAGTAACAAAAGCGAAAGGCATATATGTGGTTAAGTTTATTACTTTCCTTTTTACCTGTAAAAATCTTACTATCTTAGACAGGAATCAGTGTCATTCTAGCATTTCTTTTCGTTATGAATTTTTTTAATAACAATTCCGGTTTCATTTACCTAAAAAAAAAGACAAAAAATACACTGCTTTCATGCCATTATGTCAATTAAAAAAAAAGAAAAAAAAGACATTGCTTTCATGCCATTGTGTCAATTAATTAACATTTAGTTTTTAAGCAAAGACAAGCAATGCTTTGGATTCATGTAGTTAGCAATATATATTTAGGATCCCGGAGACAAACATCTGTTTTTTTTTTCCTTTTTCTTTTTTTTTTCCTTTTTGAAGATAACAAACATCATCTATTTCTATGCTTAAATATCTGTAAATTTGGGAATACCATGCATGCATGATTGGATTCCGAGCCCTATTCTTAGACTTTGGTATAAATTATTTGTTTCCAAGTGAATATAATATATGTTCTTTATGAATTAATTAAACACTGATCTTCTCTTTAAAAAAAAATTTAAAAAGTCTGATGGAAGAGCAAGTCGGCATCTTTCGGATTAATTTAAAACTCATCTAACGATAAAATAATAACAGAAAATGACAAAGGAAGATAACATAATGTAATTAACATATATTTTATTGATTTAATATCTTATTTTTTTCCCTCATGGCTACTAGGTTATTAATGACCGATTGCATATTAAGTTCTTACTTCGATCAGTTTTCTTTTTCTTCCTCTTTACATAATTTTGAAGTGGAGAAGTCTTTAAAGCTCAATAATAAATCGGTTCATCTAAAATCCAAATATCTATAAAATCATATGGCAATATTTTTCTTATATATATGTTTCAAACTTGATGTAGCCTTTTTCTCACAGAAAAGTTGGATATATAGCCTTCAGAATGCATGTAAGTTTTTTCACTGTACCTTTTTTGCTTATGAATTCGACAGGTCACCTGATCTATCTAGCTAAGATTTTTCATTAGTTACCACCTGAGTCTTGTGTTTACACAAAAAACTCTTCAATTAATTTCGTACCAAGATTTATTGAATATTCACATGTGAGCATAATCAAACATCAAAATGTAATTAAAAGGAGTAATGTGATTAAAATAGGAAGTTGAAGTCGATACCGAATATCGTCACTTTTTCTCGATTACTTTGGTATATCCTAACTTATATTTACGGCATGTTTAACAACTCATATTGTGATATAAGTTCATGCAACGGTGTATAATCTGACACCAAAAAGAATTAGAAAGAGTACTAATGAAGATCTATTGAAAATTGATAATAACTTGAACATTAGGATTTACTTGATTCTAAACCTACAGGAAAGATATTTGCTTACAATTTGGTAAATCCTTATAACTTATTAATATAGGACACGTGAAGCATGAAATTAACTTCAATCCAATAACAACAACTTCAATATGATACTATATGATTCTAAAGTTCTTTTTTTTACCCCCTTCTTTCTTCTTCTTCTTTTTTTTTGGGCGGGGGTG